ATTTCACTTTACTCATCTTTAAAATGGAAATTGCATGGTTATTTTAAGAATTGGCAAAAATGTATATGAAATGCTAAGTAAAGTATTCACACGAAGTCAGAGTCAGGTAAATGTTTTGGCTATTAATATTGTTACTGCCAGGAAGAGTGGAGTTTTGAATTTCGAAGTCTATTTAGATTTCTTTTCCTGAGCCTGCAGTTTATAATGTAAGTTTAGATGTTTTAGGGAAATCAACATTGTGGGCTTGGATAGGATATTTATAGTGGAAATTAAACAAAGGAGTTGATTTATATTCTTGTTTATCTGTAATTTAGGTGGGAGACCTACCTGATGCAGATATTAAACCTCCAGAAAATGTGCTGTTTGTATGTAAATTGAATCCAGTAACCACAGATGAAGATCTGGAGATAATATTCTCAAGATTTGGGCCAATAAGAAGGTAATCTCTAGAATTAGTGAAAGATTTAGAAAAATTAGGTATTAGTTGGTCATTTTCTAATGACATTTTTGTTGAGTCTGTGAACTCTAGGCGAATTTTATACTGGTGAGTTTTACAGATGAGTCTTTTGGATGGTAGGGAATGAAAATATGTATGAAAAAAAATATATGAATTGAATGAATCTCTCACTACCAACACAGGCATTTTCAACTCTAAAACAGGAAGTGAATGAAACAGTTTAAGTCTAGTTCTTTACTATTTTCAGTAACCTTCTTTAGTATTTTAAATATCTGTCCATTTAAATTCTCCCTAGAATTTCTAGCAACCAAAAGTAATTTGAATATAAATTTTCTAAAATTTTTCTTTCAATTTATTTTCCTGGCATTATCAATGCAATGCTAGTATTTCTATGAGAAAGGGGAATATTTTGTAATTGATTTAAAAGTATTATTTTATGTTTAGAATGTCCTTTCATGTTTTTTTCTTCTATGAAGCCATTTTTTATTCTTCCTATTGAAAGAAAAATCTTACCGTAAAAGACTACCTGATTTTATTTCTCCACCCACTTACAATATATCGTGTTTATAAAAAATACTCCATTATTGCTATTTTTATTTTTTTTTAACTGTAGACATTATAGACTGACTTCTTGCTAAGGAAGATGAGGATTCCCTTCTGTTTCTGTCCTCCCCCCTTCATTCTTGCCTCCTGCTTTGTTTATGTCATAATTTTGGTTAGATCCTTGCTCAGTGTTTCCATTTTAATGTGTATTTAATTATCGTTAACAGCTGAACCATGTGCTGTGAAGTGATAACTTTTCCTTCCTGTCACAGTGTTTTATTTCTTTGTTTTATTTCATGTTTCTAAAATGAGAGTTAAGATGCATGAGGAAAAAGCATCAAGCCAGGGCCAACCTTATTGGCTCTTTCACTTAGTTATTAAGATGGATTAGTTCTGTGTAATAACTATACCTAATTTGACTAAATTTGAATTTGGTTTATATAAAAATTTAAAACCTTTAGGTAGTGATAGAAATGTTAGGTACCTTGTTTGTAGTGATAGTTTCATAGGTGTATACATCTGTCAAAATTAATCAAATTGTACATCTGAAATATGTGTAACTTACTGTACAGAAATTATACCACAATTAAGTTGTTTAAAAAATTTAAAAAGTAAAATTCAAAACCCCCAAATTATAAGTTTGCTAAACATGTCTATATGTATGAATGTACATACATTATTCTACAGTAACATTAGCTAGTCTATGATTCACCTATATTTGGACTAGAAATAAATTATGATTTAAAAGAACTTTTAGCAGTAATTTCCTTTTGTCAAAGGACAGTTAAATATTTTTATCTTATTCTTTCTTAAATGTTTTAGAAATTTAGGATTGTAGGCCTAGGTAGGACGTTTATAGTAGAATCTGAATAATTTAGTTACTAGACTGGCAAACTATTATTTAAAAAATAATTATTATTGAAATTTGGAGAAATACAGTTCTGTGAATTTAACTTTGCCTTTAATAACTGGCTTATTTTGTTTTTTACTTTTGAAAAGTGAGAGTAAATGCTTTTTCTTTAAAGTCACTTTTTTCCAAACTTTCTTTCAGTTGTGAAGTTATCCGGGATTGGAAGACTGGAGAATCCCTCTGTTATGCTTTTATTGAATTTGAAAAAGTAGGTCATAATATAAATATATTAAGTTTGTATTTATTTTGTTCTTATATGGTATTAAAGTGTGAAAAATTGTAGAACTTTTTTAGTCTCTAAGATTAGAAAATCAGTTTGCCCTTTCTTTAGGCACCTGGAAAAATAACTTTATTATATTCAAATTAGGGGATAAATTTGACATCTGTTAATGTTAGTGTATGTTTTACTTTAGGTTTATGTTCAGCCTATGTGAATGTGAACATAAAAATTTTTAAGTTTCAGGTAAAGTCTTTCTCATTCTATAAATAATTTTTCAGTGTTATTTAGGTAAATATGTAATTGAGTAATAGAAAAGTGGACTGGGTGTTAAGATCTAGATATTAATCTGAGCTCTGTCACTGACTAGCTATTCTATGATATCTGACATTTTATTTAGAATTCTTCTGGGCATTACCTTCCTTATGAATAAAACTTGAGTATTGGATTAGTACTTTCTAGATCTAGAATAGTAATGATAGTTTATGTATTCAGGTAACTTTCTTTAAGCAGACATTTTGCTACATGACCTACATTTAATCCTCACAACTCTGTGAGATTTGTACTGTCCTTCTTTTCCAAATGAGTAAACTGAGGCACAATGTGGTGATGACTTGTTTAAAATCATGCACCCAATGAATGTCATAGCCTTCTGTCCTACTGTTTTATTTTCAAAGAAATAGTTAATAACTCAGTTAACATTTTATGTAACAGATATTAACTACTACCTATATTTATAAAATTGTTCAGATATAAAACATTGTTAATACTCATAAATTTTGGGTATTTTTAAAAAACCATCAAATTTAGAGGGGGGTATAGCTCAAGTGGTAGAGCACGTGCTTAGCATGTACAGGGTCCTCGGTTCAATCCCCACTACCTCCTCTAAAAAAATAAATAAATGAGTAAGCCTAATTAACACCCCTGCCCGCAAAAAACCCCATCAAATTTAAATGTGAGTTATACAGTGACTAGGAATATTTGTATTAATTCTATTTCTTTTCTGTACTTTTCTTCATCTGGTAAATAAAAGAGCTTGTATTTGCTCCTAGAATTTGAACTTAGGTATGTCTGATTCTGTTCCTAATGATTTTAGCCATTATGTGAGACTATGCTGTTTCTTCATGCAGCTTTGGACTGACATGTGTTGAGTAGTAGCTCATTCTAAGTTACAGCTATTCCAAAGCATTTGTCAAACACCTATATTTCAGGCACTGTGATAGGTCCTAGGGGTATAAGATGAATAATAGATGGTTGAGGAAGACAGCATGTAACAAATTATACCTAGACCTGGTGCCAGGTGTACCAGAAGTAATAATTACAGGGTACATTGGTGTCAGCAGGAAAGAGATCTCTACCTTCAGGTTGCTATAAATATTTATGTCGACTTGATAGTGTGATTCCATCATTAACACTAAGGATTATGTTGTTGATTTGCTCACGAGTATAATTTCGTTTCGTTTTTGTCAGATAAACTAATGACTGCCTGTGTTTCTCAGTCTTCTGCAGGTGTACCATTCACCGCGAATAGGTCAACTGTAGAGCGTAGGGTGATTCTAGAATCTGTGAATTCTTTATCATGATTCAGCATTTCAATTTTTGATGGCTCTTTTGCAGCCTTTCTTGTCCTTGAAAATCACATTAAACTACATTATTCTGCTTTATAATTCTCATGAGTGGTAGCCTCTTTTTAAGTGTTCATTACTGAGTCTTTTTTTTTCATGTTAGACAAGTTCTCTATGCTTTGGATAATCTGGTCAAATTTTTTAAAAAAACTGAAGAATAAAATACATACAGGAAACGTGTAGCCTCATGAGTGAACATCTTGATAAATTATCTGAGTTAATACACCCATGTAAATCACCACCCAAGTCAAGAAATAAAAATGTTAGCAGAAGAAAGTTACCAGAATCCCCGAGGCCCCCATTCTGTCCCCTTCCGATAACTTCCCATCACTGCTACTTCTGGTATCATAGATTTATTTTGTCTAATTTTAAACTTGGTATCAGTGTAAACATAGTGTGTGTTTTTTGTGTCTAGCTTCTTTTGCTCATTGTTACATTTGTAAGATTTATACATTATTGCATATAGTTTTTAACTTTTTTTGGTTAATTTCATTGATATGGTATTTTATTGTGTGTATGTAAATTTTCATTGACATACAATATTTCATTGTGTGTATATAAACTAGAGTTCTTTTCTGCTTTTGATGGACATTTTGGTCCTTTCCAGTTGACTGTTATGAATGTAGTACTGTAAACCGTTTCTATCATGTCTTTCAGTGTACAGATATGCATTTTTGTTAGGTATATATCCAAGAGTGAATTGCTGAGTAGGTATAGCTTTAGGAGATAATTCCAATCAGTTTTCCAAAGGGATCGTCATAATTTTCACTTCTACTAGCAATGTGTGAGAGTCCCTATTACTCTGTATCTTTACCAATTCTTGATATGGTCTGTCTTTTAGATTTTACATTCTGGTGGATGTGTAGTGGTATCTTACTGTGGTTTTACTTTGCATTTCCCTGATTGAGCCCCTTTTCATATGTTTATTGTCCTTTGAATGTTCTTTTTTAAATGAAGTACCTGTTCAAGACTTGGCCACTTTTTGATTGGGTATTTGCTACCTTTTTATTGATTTGTAAGAATTTTTTATATTTTCAGGATACAAACTTTTTTTGGTTGTATGTGTTGCAAGCATCTTTTGCTCTGTGGATTGCCTTTCCCCTTTCTTAATGGTGTCTTTTGATAAGGAGAAATTTCTAATTTTTAGTTCAGTTTGTCAGTATTTTTCTTCCTTGTTATGGCCTGTTTTAAAAGTACTTGCCTACTCCGAAGTCATGAAAATATTCTCTTTACTGTCTTTTGAAGCTTTGTTCTGAAATTATCTTTCCCATTTAGATCTGAAATTTGATTTTGTACTATGTGAATCATGTTAAATTTCATTTTTCTTTTATTAGATAGCCAGGTTACCCAGCACAATTCATTAAAAAGGTTACCTGTTCACACAGCTCTTCAGTACCACCTTTGTCATAAATCAGGTGTCCACATACATGTGAAGTCTATTTCTGGATGCTGTACTGTTATACCAGTCTGTTTGTCTGTCCTCACACCCCTGTCAAATTGTGTGAATTACTATAACCTTACAATGTCTTAATATCTGGTAGTGTGAGTCCTCCAACTTTGTTCTTGAAATTGTCTTGAAAATTTGGATAGTTTTGTCCTTTTAATTTCCATATATATTTTTAATCTCAATTTTGAAGAGATTCCTTAACTATTGTTTGAGTATACATTCATCAAGTACAAATATTCTCCTCCTGAAAAAAAGTATCAGAGAACTTTTTCTTTAGGGAAATGGCACAGTGATGGAATTATGTCTGGAATTATAAGTATAATCAATTAGATTAATCAAATATACATTAATTGCCTACCATGTGCCAGATGATGTTCTAAATGATATAGATTCAAAGATGAATGAAACTTTGTGTATATAGTCATGGAGTTTATAATTGGTTTAATTCTTGACATACATAATGAATAAATATGATTATAACTGGTTCTTTTATCTGCTTCTCTTTGAATTGTTTCTAGTTGAGTTGTGACCAGACCAAAAAATGAGTTTCCAGGAATCTAGGAGAAAATTGATCAGTGCTGGGTTGAAATGTGTCATTTCCAGTCTTCAGATGTCAGAAATGGAGATGTAGGGTTCGTGACGTTACTGACAGAAGAATTTCTGTGTAACACATACCTTGGTATCATAGGCCCACAATCTATTATCCAAAACCCTTGGGAATAGCTATTTTTTCCATTTCAAACTTTTTCAGAATTTAGAAAGGCAATTCTTACGTGTGTATATGTGTGTGTGTGTGTGTACATGTACACATATCTGTGAATTTGATAATCCTCTGGGTCAGCATTCCACAGTCACAAAAATACTTCTGTGATGAAACAAATTAATGTTCATACTTAGTGGAATAATCTAAAATCTAGGTCAGGTTTTGCTGTCACATGGATTTTAACACCAAATTTATAAAAACAGCTTTCAATATTCAGGATATTTTGGGATTTTGAGTAAAAGGGATTGTGGATTTATATAACACTACTGGCAAGTACATGTATTTGCACTGTAATCAGACTGCCTTGGTGCAAATTCTGGTTCTCATACTTGCCAATTGTGTGACCTTTGGCAACTTCTGTACCTCTAAGTATCTGTATTCTCTTTGAGAAAACGGAAGTAATAATAGACAATACCTCATAGGGTTGTTATCAGAGTTAATTGAAATAATAGACCCCAAGCATTTAACAGCATTTGGTGCATAAATAAGTATTCAAATTTTTAGTTTTAGTAACAAGAAACTTTTTGTACTTTCAGTATTTGTTCTAGCTGCAGGAATCTTTTCCATAATGATTTATACTTGAGTTTTTATAATTACTGTCAGGAAGAAGATTGTGAGAAAGCGTTCTTCAAAATGGACAATGTACTTATAGATGACAGAAGAATACATGTGGACTTCAGCCAGTCTGTTGCGAAGGTTAAATGGAAAGGAAAAGGTATGTTGGTTCATCTTTCTTTGTTTCTGTTCTGCTTTGCATGCTTGTGCGTGTGTGTGTATGTGTCTCCTTTGACAGTGCTGTTAGAGATGTTCAGGGGTGTAACTGCTGCCGTTTGATTTCATGTAACTGTTGTCTGGCACGTAAGATAGAAGAGGGTGTGTGTGAATGTGCATTATGTGTATTTTAAACTGATGATGAATGTTTTCTATGTTTGACTATAACTAATTGCTTACAGTTACCCGTTGTAGACATGACATGTTTCCAAAGCAGTTATTATGACCTGGTGGTGGTTTGGTTCTTCTAGAGGCAAAACTCTTAAAAATTTTTTTTTTCCCTAAAGCGTGTTTGTTTTAGTTGCCATATGGTACAAAATTGAAAAGATCTATGAAAAGGTGGTGGAACACAGTCTCCCTTCCACTCCTGCTGCTCATCTACCCAGTTTCCCTTCCCAGAGGCAGCCTCTGCTACCTGTTTCTTTTGTAACCTTCTACATATATTCTTTAAATACATATAATTTCACATATTTAAATATGTATGTTTATACACATATATAGTATATATTTATTTGATGTTTAGAATTTCACTTCATGTTTTTCCTGTATATATATTATATATATATAGTTTTCTCCTCTAAAAAAGAAATATACACAGAGTTTTCTCCTTTAGAAAAGGAAAGCACAAGTAGATGCAAGCTATACATACTATTTCTGTACCTTGCAGTTTTTGTTTTATAACACATCAAAGAGATAGTTTATATCAGTGTATAAAATGACAATATTCTTTTCAGTGTGGCACAGTGTTCTGTTGAACGTATGTGTCACAACTTATTGAACCAGTCCTACTAATGGACGGTCAAGTTGCTAATCGTTTATTTTCTGTGTATTATGTCCTATCCCTAAGCATGTGGCATTTCCCACGTATGCATATACACGTCATATAAACTCCTGGTAGTGGCATACCACCCTGAAGGCTGACTCTGTGGTATGCTGAAATCATGTGGGTTTTTGATTGTCGATGCAACGTTTTTAAAAGGTTTCACTCTGGCAGTAATTCACCGTGCAATGCTAAATTGTACTAGGAACTTTAGGACTACTTTCTTTTTCTGTAACACTTTATTTCTCATGATTTTTATGAATTCTTTTTTTCCGCATGTGATAATTATAGCTATATGATCCAAAGAATCAAATAAGTACATTCAGGAACTATCAGTGAGCTGCTGGCCTAAGCAGTATAGTTCTGGTCCAGTAGTACCGCCCAGTAGCTCTTCTGTGGGGCTTTTTCCCAGAAAGCTAATTAAATTTTGTCATTTGGGATATATATATGCAGTAAGTATTTATTTATTTGCTATTTTTTAAAACATTTTTATTGAGTTATAGTCATTTTACAATGTTGTGTCAAATTCCAGTGTAGAGCACAATTTTTCAGTTATACATGAACATATATATATTCATTGTCACATTATTCTTTTCGCTGTGAGCTACCACAAGATCTTGTATATATATTTCCCTGTGTTATACAGTATAATCTTGTTTATCTATTCTACATTTTGAAATCCCAGTCTGTCCCTTCCCACCCCCGCCCCCTTGGCAACCAGTTTGTATTCTATGTCTATGAATCTGTGCAATAAGTATTTTATAATTCCTCATTACAGAGAAGGAACTTGATGCATAATCTTGTGAAGTTTTTCACCCAGTGTCACATAAACATGATTTAAACAGGTCCTAACTAGTTTGTCGCTTTTTCTCAATTGTCTCTTCCTAACCCATTCTCCCACTGAAGAAATGATAACTGCCTTCCTAAGTAGTTTCAGTGTAGTTTATTTACAAGATGACTTCTCAGTGAATTTCATATTTTTCTAAAATAAAACATCACATAGGAGACATACTTGAGTTTCATGTGTGCCATCATAAATGTGTATTTTGTTGTTAGTCTCTGTTAATTTTGAGATACTTTTGTAATTATGGATTCACATTTAGAAAGTTGAGTGTATCCTGTGCTCCATTCCCAGTGCTCAGTACTTTCCCTTATAGCCTTATTTAATGATTCACAGCTCTGTGAAACGTTGATGTTATTTTCAGTTCATAAATGAAGAGAATGAGTTTCAGAGAACTGAAGTGTCTTACCTTGGACCTCCCACTAGGGTTAGGATTTGAATCTAGAAGTTCTCAGTTTAATCTATTGCTCCTTCTGTTATAACATAACTGCCTCATCCATTGTGAGACTGGTAATGGCAAGCACATGGCAGATATTTGTTTCAGTGATGAAACAAAGTTTGTTTGTTACAGTTACCAGTATTTTACCTCTTACAGCTGTCTGTTTCATGTTTATATAAACCATTGTCTACAGGCCATTTTTGTTTCTAGAGCCTCTGGAATTGCCAGGTAGATTCATCTTGTCCTTGATGTCCTCCCCCCACCTTTTTACTTGTATTTTCTCCTTTGTTTAAAGACGCTGGTGACAATCAAGGTACATGTAGGATTCGCAATCAAAACACCTGTTTGCCTTCCTTGTGCCTTCAACTTGGCCCCTCTGTATGTAGGAAGCATTCCTGATGGAAACAGTTCCTCTTGCTGGTTGAGGGGATAGGAAAGGCAGGTGAGTCACAGGTCTAGGACATAGGTAAGAACTGGGTCCTCATCTGGTAGGAGACTAGGTTTGAAAGAAGGAGTGTTCTCTCCTTTCCTGGCCCTGCTGCTGTAGGCTGGTTAGGATGTAACAGTAGGTCCTGTTTTTCTGAAGGAATTGGTGATTTCATTCTTGGCACTTGTGAGGAATGAAGGTGCTCTTAAGGAGAAATTTCAAAGCTGAGACAGTTTATCTTTGGTGCTCTTGCCAACCCCCCCCCCATCTCTTAAGGGACATTCTGCATACATCCTGCTGTCCCCTCTCTGCTTGGTGCTCTGTTGAAATTTTAGGGCAGAATGTCTCTTTTGACATATCAGAGGTCTTTAAACCCTCACTTCTTCCAAACTTGTAAGCCTCTCAGATCACAGACTCGGGTCCCAAGCCCTCAGTTTCCTTTGGGCCTAATATTCTCATGGACTTCATGGCTGTGCTTAAACCCTGTATTATTTTCTGGTGATTGTATTCTCTTGTGTAATTTAGGATTTGAAAGTTTGGTGGTGTAATATTCATGTATATCATTAGGGGGCAGCATGTGGCTACCTAGCAAAATGGATGTCTTGAGATACCTGATTTCAGTTAAAATAGTGAGGAGAATGAATTGCTATCATTCTTTTTTCTTCTCAGCCTTTTTTATCCCCTGAGATATATGCCACTTTTAAAACAGCTCTTATATATTATACCTTTATCAAATAATTACTGTTCTTGATTCATCAGGTGATTTTTCTTACTAATTTTTTCCCCTCTTTTTAAAATAAACAGGTGGGAAATACACCAAGAGTGACTTCAAGGAGTATGAAAAGGAACAGGATAAACCATCTAATTTGGTTCTGAAAGATAAAGTAAAGCCCAAACAGGAGTATCCTTCACAAGAGCCAGTTAATCAGTATGTGTTGACCGTCCACTCCGGAGAGTACTGTGTGATAGGAAGAGTCACAAAGGCCGTAGAAGACAAGGTTCCTGAATCCCGGTGGCTTGTGGAGAAATCACTTAGTTTATCTTTATCTCTTTTCACCGTTTTGCATATGGATACTTTATACTTTACTTTTTCAGTATATTCCCTGTATGGAGAAGGTTAGTGTTGAAAGAAATCTTTAGCCTAATTCTTTTACCTCCCTATATTTAGGTTAAGGTTAACACTTATTCTCAGATGATGTGCAGGTAAGATTTGTATTTTCTGTGTATAATCTTAATGTTTTAAATTTCTCATAATCAGAAATTTCTTTTTTACAGCTAAGCTAAACCCTTTGTGTTAACCCTTCTATCTGTTTAACGTCTTTGGAGATGGTGACTATGTAGATAACAAAATCCTGTCATTGTCTCACGTGAGTAGATTCTTTCGGCATAA